CCGTCCGAATATACATGCTTTCGAGAACATACCTTCGAGCAACGAAGCCAGACCCGGTTGACTCTATTGTTCCACGGTGACACAGGTCGATACCGTTATCAATTGACATCCCCTTCAGTCTCGACGTATGCTCGACGTTTTATGGTCGTTAAATGGGACGTTATTTCAACGTTGACATAACGTTATCACAGACGTGCGCTCGACATTTTATGTCGTTAAATGGGACGTTATGATATGGTTGATATTACGTTCTCAATAGAAATCCCGTTCAGTTTAGAGATTTACTCGACGTTTTATGATCGTTAAATGAGGCATTGTGTCAATGTTAATATAACGTTACTACTTGACTTCCTGTCCCATTCAGACGTGCAGCCGATGTTCTAAGCTCGTTACGTGGGACGTTATGTCCACGTAAAATCCACGCGTTTTTCGAGACATTGGCCTTTTCATATTACGTCGAAGGGACCTGACGTTCAGACTTTCGACGTTCTTTGGAGATGTGGTTCCTGACGTCATTGACGTTCTTTCGATGTCCTTTCAACGTGTCTGTGCTGCCTGAGTTACGGGACTAAGACAAGAAAGATCTCGCGAACGTCCTGGTTTTTGCAGCTGGAAGGTCAGAGGGCAGCGACGCCGGGAAGTCGCTTGAAGTGGGAGGCCCCTGCTTCAATAGCATGTTTGATGTTGGTGTCATTAGTGAAGAATCCTTTGGAGGTTGTAGACGGGGTTTGCACACGGCCTCCGAAGAAAAGTTTCTTCAGTCCCCGAGTCAGGCCCGCAGTTTTTTCTCTTGAGAAACGTTTGGGTCGGCGTGGTTCATGAGGCGGAGAACGTGTTCGACGAAACTTGTGGCGCTCTCGTTCGGCCTTTTGCTTTTTGCTTGCAGAAGTTTTTTGGCCCCCTGCCAACGCTCTTGGCTGGCAAAGGTGCGTCGAAGCTCGACCTGAAATTCTCACGACGAAATCGACGCTTTGTGGTTTTCGCACCAGGTGTGGGCCGTACCTTCCAGATAAAAGTAGGCATTCAGAAGGCTTTGCTTTGCACTCCCATCCGCTGGACCGGGCGACGCGCTCGTACTGGCTCAACCAGTTGTCCTCATCTTCATAAAGATTGCCATGGAAAGTCGCCGGCGTCCGTGGCGGGGCCTGCACGTAAACGACGGAAGGCGGTTGTGTTTCGTCTTGCTGCGCCGTGGTGTTCATTCCGGCCGCGGTCTTTATTCGTTTGAACAGTAGAGGGACGAATTCCGGGGGCAGGCCTTGGGAACGGTGGCTGGCACGCGTTTCCGGTTCGTCAACGGGAATAAGCTTTACGGGACTTTAACAAAAACCGAGCCCGACAGAATTGAGGTATACGACTCACGGGCATAGAGCGCGGTACCCAGCACCTCCACGAAAATGTCACGAAAGAAAACTGTTGAGGTAACGAAAGACTGAAGGAATCTCAATATTTAATGGGGCTAACTTTCCAAGCAGCACTGATTTCGGCCAAGCATTCGTCAATGGCTGGCTATGGTCTTTTGGCCAATGACCAAAGAGTGGCCATTCATCGGCCAACGCTTGACCGCTGGCTGATGGCCAGTGGCCATTGGCCAATGGCCAGAGAAAGGTCAGTCATCGACCAATGACTTGCCACTGCCTGGCCACTGGTCGAAGGACCATTGCCAGCCAGTGGCCAATGATTGGCCAACTCTGTGCTGCTTGGGTTGTGCACAAACAAAGCATAAAAATAATGAAAGACGTTTACCTTTCTCTGTAATGACGAATTAGAGCGAAGCTCTTGAGGAGGAGGAGGGGAGTGTATGTAGGTGGAGGTTATGTCCCTCCTCCCCCTCCCCTTAGTCGCTCCTCTTCTGCTCCCCTCCCATTTAGCCAGAAAGTTTTGCTAAATTTCCCGCTAAACTTGGTGGGAGAGTTTTACAGTCGAAACATTTTCCCGCTCAATTTAGCGGGGAAATTCTCCGCTAAATTTAGCCGAAAGCTTCCCCGGTAAATGTAAACGCGAAAAGTTTCCGCTATATTTAGTGGAGAAATGTTTCCGCTAAATTAGCGGGAGAATGTTTCTCCTAAATTTTGCGGGGAAATTGTTCCGCTAGATTTAGCGAACAAATTTTTCCACTAAATTTTACGTGGAAATTTTACAACTAAATATAGCGGGGCAATTTTTCCACAAAACTTAGCGTGGAATTTTTTCCGCTAAATGTAGCGGCGAAATATTTCCGCTAAATTTAGTGGCGAAATTTTTCGCTAAATTTAGCGGGAATATTTATTTATTTATTTATTATTTACAATACTGTGAACCTTACGGTCAACACAGGAGAGAAAAATAAGTTGTACAAGCCAAGCAAAATGCATTCACACTCAAGTGAGCACTTATGCACATGCAGTGGTGCGTCACACCCTGCACATCTGAAGATGTATTCCGCACACATACATTATTCAGTTAAAAATTCGCGCAATGATAATTCAAATGACTTGAGATTAGAGCAGCTGACGACTTCGTTTGGCAGAGCGTTCCACTCTACTATTGTCCTACAAAAGAAAGAATACTTAAATACGTCATTTTTGTATTGATACGGAGCAATCGCCCTGACGTTGCTAGTCCTTTGGGAACGAGACGTTGAAGGCCGCAAGTAAAGCTGCGGATCTAGCTTTGTCATTCCAGTCGTTATGGAAAAGAGTTCTTTTAACCTTGATATTTTCCGTCGCTTTGCCAGCGAGTCAAGCTGCGCCTCTTGTCTCATTGAAGAAACAGATTCTGTACGTTTATATCTGGAGAAGATAAATCGAAGAGCCAGATTTTGTATTCTTTCAATTTGTGATTCGTGGCATTTTCTATACGGGTCCCATTCAGTGCATGCATATTCTAACAATGGTCGAACATAACACATGTACGCAAGTTGTCGAACATCACTATTGGCATGCCTAAGTTGTCTTCTGAGGAATAATAACTTTTTGTAGGCCTTTGAACAAACGTAATCTACACGACTGTTCCATCGCATGGTAGAACTAAAAATAACACCTAAATATTTAAATTCGTCCACCTTTCGCAGTTGCACGCCACCTATTTTATAGGAATATTCTAAAATTTTTCGTTTGTTTGTAATGCTGCAGAATACTGTTTTATCAAAGTTAATTACCATACCCCACCTTTCACACCACAAGTAAAGTTTTTCTAGAGAGGCTTGGTCTTCGACTGTACGCACTTTTGAAAACAACATGCAGTCATCCGCAAATAGCTTTACCTGGACGGCTGGCGGCATATCATCTGCAATATCATTTATATACAGTAAAAACAAAAGTGGACCTAATACCGACCCTTGTGGCACACCTGAAAACACTGCAAGGCGGGTAGAGCATGCATCATTGCAGTAGACATACTGTGTTCTGTTAGTTAGGTAAGACCGGACCCACGACACTATATTGCTGTTTAGACCCACAAGGTGAAGCTTTTCAATTAATTTTTTATGAGGCACGCGGTCGAACGCTTTTGAAAAATCCATGAACACGACGTCAACCTGACCCCGCTCATTTACAACAGATGAGAACTCATGCGCACACTCAAATAATTGTGTGACCGTCGATAGACCCCGTCTAAAACCGTGCTGATGTTTGTATATTAAGTTGTTTTCTTCTAAGTACTGAGTGACATGATTTGAAATAATGTGGCAGTTTGCAGCAAGTCAACGTTAATGATATAGGACGGTAATTTTGGACTGTCATTTTGTTTCCAGATTTGTGAATGGGTATAATTTTACCACACAACCAGTCTGCTGGCAATTTGGATTGTTGGAGAGAGGCTTGAAATATTATGAAAAGATATCGGGACACCCACTCAGCATATCTTTTCAGAAATGCATTTGAAATGTCGTCTGGCCCCGACGCCTTTTTTACATCAATATTCAAAAGCAAATTAAGTATACCACTTTCCGAGACAACCAAATCTGACATACAAGGTTCATCAGAGCTGCTGACGTGGTCTACCGGCGGGTCACTCGAGACTGTAAAGACTGACTGAAAATACGTGTTAAATTCCTCTGCCACTTTAATGGGACATGATACAACCTCATCGCTTACCATCACTTCTGTTATTACTTCTTTTTTCGACGAGAAAAACCGCCAGAATTTTTGCGGAGATTCCAGCAAGAAACGAGAGAGCACATTGCCACAGTAATTTTCCCTAGCTTGGGAAATAAGATTCTTCAATTGTCGCCCCAAATTTGCAATGTCGGAGGAATTTCGTTTTGCTTTCCTTTTGCGCTTGATCTTTCGCTTTATTTGCAAAATTTCTCTTGTTACCCATGGGTGATGTCGTTGTGCTCTCACGCCCCTTGTCGGAACAAAGTGATATGTACAGTAGGAAACAATACTCTTAAATGTTTTCCATAATTCGGTAACATCACTTAACTGACTAAAATGGTCAAAATGTTCATCTAAATAATCGAGGATGGACACATCATCAGCATTTTGAAAATCTCTGACAGTACGTTCGTGACGAGCATTATCGGCAGCTGTTTTATGTAGTTCTAAGTCAAGAAACACCATTTTATGATCTGACACTCCGTCGAGCACATGTGCTTTATCCGCTTCCACTATGTTGCTAACAAAAAGTAAGTCCAGAATCGATTGGCTCGTATCTGTTACTCTTGTCGGGCTGTCCACTAACTGTTGAAGATTAAAACTGAGTGCTATATCTAACAAAAGCTCGGAGGACGCGATTTCATTTTTACCTGGTTTTTGCTTTGCCCAATCAATATCAGCAAGATTGAAGTCTCCAGTCAAAATAATTTTAGTTTTGTCATTGAAGCGCAACGCCATGTAATCATACAATTCTTCTAAAAACCTCGGGGCGGTGTTTGGTGGCCTATATACAGCACCAACAACAAACACGTTGCCGTGAACTTTAACCTTACACCATAACACCTCCCCTTTGACAACGCAATCTAAAGGTACCAGGTCCACCGAACTTTTTGCGATAATAGCCACGCCGCCACCCCTTAACCCTCGGTCTTTCCTAATCATTCTGTAACAAGGCGGAATAACTTCATTATCACCAATACCACTGTGAAGCCATGTTTCCGTGATGACGATCACGTGGGGGTCATGAGTTAGCAAGATTGTTTCCAAATCATCTACTTTATTCACAATACTTTGCGCATTGAAGGAAAGAAGTCGAAATGTCTTTCGATGGGGTTTCCCGGAGTGTGCTTGACGTCATTTTACACTTTTTTGTCGAGTTGGTCGATTTCTTTCTTTGCATATTTGCCCCACATTATCATCCCATTCGAAAACTTGGCCTCCTATCTTAATTTTATCGTGAATCAAGAAGACAGTTTCCCCGTTATCGCGATTGGGTTTACTGGTTTCCCACAACTGTTTGCGCTTTTGAATAGTCTGCCAAGAATAATCGTGTTCTAACGTTATTTTAGTCCCTTTCAAACACCTTCGCTTTTTTAGCACGTTTTCCTTTTCTGCGTAGTCAAGAAATTTAACTACAACTGGGCGGTTTTTGCTTGTTTTTCGCCCCACGCGATGTACACGCTCGACTGTATTAACATGAATTCCAAGTTTTTCTTCAAACACATCACCAAGTACTTTCGACCGCAATGAGTCATTTGTTTCCCCTTGAGCCTCTGGAAGTCCGAAAACCATGAGGTTGTTACGGCGGTTCCGATCTTCTAAGTCGACGATTTTTTTTTGGCATTCCTTCAAGTCCTCATCGATTGCCTTAACATGTTTTTCAATGCTTATGATTTGAACTTTTTGTTCTTTCATTTCTTGAACTGTTGCTTCAATTTGATTTACTTTTTTTGTTAGACCTTCAAATTTGTGTTCAAATTGCTTTTGGTTATTTTTTATTTGACTTAGATCTCTCATAATCACGTTTTGTGTGTCCAGAATCGCCTTCACCATCTCTTCCATTGTAGGGTTACCACCCCCTTGGCAGTCATCAGGTCCCGGATTCGATTCAATGTCACCGCTTAACAATAAATCACGAGTGACACAAATGCACTCAATAAATAAGGTTAAGCACATCCGGGGGCAAGGCAGCAGGAAAAGGAAAGTATTGCTTGATCGTTTACAATGCAATGAGTGACAATTACTCACCTGCGTGAAGAAGATCAGAGGATTAGACATAGTGCACACATGAGTGCTGCCTTGCCCTCTGATGGCGAACCGTTCAGACAGCCCTTTTGTAGCTTCGTAGGCCACGGTTGATGTCGATGCCGATCTTGTGCTTTCGTCAAAGACGAGGCGCTTGTTTCTGCCGTCGTCCTCGTTGTCGGCGAGGAAGGTGATGCCGCTGACGTATCCTTGAGTAGTCTTCAAACTTGATAGTGGCACAGTGACGGAGCGGTCCGCTGGGTCATGCTGGCGCGACAACGGACAGGCCAAAGCAGCCTGAGCGATTAGGAGCTGCGTGAAGAAGATCAGAGGATTAGACATAGTGCACACATGAGTGCTGCCTTGCCCTCTGATGGCGAACCGTTCAGACAGCCCTTTTGTAGCTTCGTAGGCCACGGTTGATGTCGATGCCGATCTTGTGCTTTCGTCAAAGACGAGGCGCTTGTTTCTGCCGTCGTCCTCGTTGTCGGCGAGGAAGGTGATGCCGCTGACGTATCCTTGAGTAGTCTTCAAACTTGATAGTGGCACAGTGACGGAGCGGTCCGCTGGGTTATGCTGGCGCGACAACGGACAGGCCAAAGCAGCCTGAGCGATTAGGAGCTGCGTGAAGAAGATCAGAGGATTAGACATAGTGCACACATGAGTGCTGCCTTGCCCTCTCATTTCTCCGATAAATTTGTCGCGAAATTTCCCCGCTAATGTTAGTGGGAATATTTTCCCGCCAAATGTAGCGGGGAAATATTCCCGCTAAATTTAGGCGCCGCGTGATGTCACGAGGGTGACGTCACACGTGATGTCACGTGCGACGTCATTATGGGCACGTCCCATATTGCAACGCGCGGTTACGCCGACGGCGACGCCACTCCAGCCGGAAACGGGTGCCTAATAGTTGCTCTCTAAAAGGCTAGCGTCGCAGACGTCGTTGTCGACGTAACGGTAAGATCGAGCGCTGGTGCGACACTGTCACAGGCTTGCCACGCGGAGCCCCTTATGTACACGCGTGGCCTTCTGGAACAACCGGCGGAGATGCTTCGGCGCAAAGAACCTTCGCACCTCGAATACACAACAGCGTTCTCGTGTTCACCAAAACGCGACATTTACATAAATGAAAAAAGGTGCGTCACCTCCCAGGCATTGAACCTCGTCCCTCTGCGAGCGAGACAAGTACGATAACCATGCGGCCATGGGCACACTTGCTCGGTGACGGGCGTGGCAATATGACCGTTCTGAGTGAGTTGATGTGCCTGTCCAGATGATATCTCAACGTTGGGTGCTTGTCTTGTTATCTTCTTCCGCTCCTCTTCCCTCTATTCTGATCATTGCATGTTGCATTAACTACCAACTCGCACGTCTTACGTCTTGCGTCATGCAGTACTCATCAACTGGCTGTGATAAATGTATTTCTTTTATTATTCTTCAATGAAAGCGCTGAAAGACATTTGCTATGGCGCACATAAGTGAATGAGCAGTATCAACAGTCTTACTTTGGCACAGTCACAACATAAACCATTACCATGGCGTTTCAAATTACCATTCTTTGTATGTGAAACTTCCTTTCATGTAAATGTTGTTCGAGGCACGTAATCCAATTCAAGGCTCCGGATATCTAAGTCATTGGCCCTGAGCATCCTCTTCAAGTAGTAGACGCGCTTACATTTTGTGAGAGTGGATGTGCGACACCATTTACAATACACCTTCCCTATGCTACACGTACGATAATACATTGAAGTCTGAGCTCTCCAAACACTCTCGAAACACGGACGGGTAGTGCACATATAATACAGCCGCTACATACAGCACAAACCAACCATCAGGATTAACCTGAATTTCTCGTCCACACGTTTTTAGCCTCTAATGTAGCATGCATAACTGCGCCAACACAAATACCACTCATCGAATGACACGTATTAAATCTTACCGCGACAATAAAATATGTGAACAAAACTCATTTCCTAGCAAGCCCAAACAAAAAACAAAAGTAAATGAAACGTTGCATGGTTTAAGTTAACAGAAAATAATGTAGATGATGCCATAAATATTATCTTCATAACAATATTTAAAGATAGAAAGGAAAATGACCACGATATGAAATATAATATTACAAGCAATAGGTCGACTGAGAGGTCAGAGAGGTGAAGCATGATTTTCAGCCCATGTAAAACAGACCCTCCTCGCATTCTATAACAAATGCTCGAGTAATCGGTGTTCTGAAAACAAAAATGTACAGTGCGCCTCAAACTTAACGCCGCATCGAACGACCGACTTTCGCGGAGCGGCGCTATCCTTGCGGCAGCCGTTTCAACTAGTCGGTCACGTGAAGGCCATTCCCAATCTCCGGACCGGGCGAAGGGAGGTAGTAGGGCCGCCGCTAAGGGCGCGTGACTCTGCAAATCACAGACTGATATCGTGAGAATCGCGTTTTTTTTTATTTTTTTTTTTTTGTGCGCTTTGTCGGCACTTCCTAAATGGCGTGTCGTGAAGTGCGTATAAATGTAATCTATACATATAACTGATGCCAGAAAATATCCCTGTACGTTTATATTAGCAGAAGTAAAGCGACGGAGAGATTAAAAATTTATTCTTCACTAAAGTTTATTGTAAAATCGTCTGATTTGTTTATGGTCCGTTATAGACATGGATCGTATTTAGTGTCCCTTTTTTAAGCGATCAATACAACCTTGCTTTGACTCAACAACGTGGCCAAGGTGATTTCTCGGCCTTATGAATGCGGAGCCTGAGTACGGGCTAAATACTTTATTATATCGCCATTTCATCGGTTTTCCACATACCGTTGTAGGCTCTTTTAGTGAATTGTTTTTGTTTTGTTGAACACAAGTTTATTCACAAATACTTGATGACAATCTAACCCGATCCTGTGTCTGAAGATTGTGTCCTCATGTGTCGGCAGGTGCGCCGGCGCACTGGTCACTTCTATTAAAGCACTCGTCGTTTCTATTTCTCGCGGCCGACCGTTTACATTCATTCAATATTTTATTTCTGAGACACAGATCCTCTGTGTAAAATAATATAAACATCTCTTTTCTGGTGAAATATTAACATGTTTAAAGATCTCCCATCTGCCGCATTTCTAAAATTCTAGAACTGTTTTGCAAAATACTTCATAACACGCGTATCAAAACGACTTTGTGGTGACCCAATTAAGTTGAATCATGTCGAATTTTGCGCATACAGAACAATCGCGGAACCTTGTTTACGTGAACACCTCACCAGCTTGTGGTCGTGTAAAATATTCAGGGAAGCCCCATTTTATCATATAAACAAAAAAACAAGCCCACGTATGCATTGTCTAACTACTTTTGACCAGCAATGAGCATGCAACTATTTTTTAATCAGCCTCCTTACTTTCAGAGACGCAACTGAATTTTGCTACTAAATTGCTTAGTGTCGCGTGTAGGCACCATTTGTTTCAATTACAGCTTGCATACGTCTTGGAAGTGACTCGTACAAATTGCGTACGAGTGTGTCCTGGGTGTGCCGCAGCCGATCCTATTCTTCTCTGATGGCTGACTCCAGGGTCCCCATAGAGGAGTCGGCGGGATTCCTCCGAGACAAACGCTTCTTGAGGATTCCCCAGACATTTTCGATTATGTTCAAGTCAGCGCCTCCGGGTGGCCACGGGAGTACGGTGATCGCACGCTGCTCCAGGAGTCTCTTCACTGTGCCAGCCTGGTGCACAGGACTACGGTCATGTTGCAGCAAAAACAAGCCGTCTGGGTAAGGTCCGTCCAGCAGGAAAGGCAGCAACATATAATCAATAATGTCCGTGTACTGTAGTGCGTCGAAACTGCCCACCACTCTGTGGAGGGGATCCAGTCCTGCGCTTGTCACAACACCCCACATGCTTAGGGTGCATCTACCACTTGCCGCTACTTCCTGCACATACTTGGCATCATATCTGCAAATATTTATAACTATGGTCAGTACACACAAAAAAGTAATAATAAAATGACTTTTTAATGTATTGAGGTAGTAAATAGAATTCATTTAAAAACGCTACCTGCAAGAGGCCAGTCGCCAGACGCGCAGTTGTTAATCCCATCGGCTGCAAAAGCTCACTTCATCGGTGAACACCACCTGGCTCCATTCTTCATTTCCCCAAGACGAGTGGGCCTGAGCGAATGCAAGACGGGCTTGGCGGTGTCGCTCGTATAAACGTGGCTTTTTGGCTGCGATTCTGCAGTGGAGTCCTGCCTCGTGTAGGTGCCGTTCGATGGTGGGCCTCGCAGCCCTTAAGTTTAGGATACTTTTGAGCTCCCGAACTGTGAGGAACGGGTCATCACAAATGGCTGCTACGATGAGTAGATCCTCCTCAGTTGACGTCGCCGGCGCTCGTGTTCCTCGAGGAGCATCATCTACACGCTGTTCATCACGATACGCCTCAATTATTCTTCCCACTCTTTTCCGGCCAACTCCTGTCGCAGACGAAATTTGGCGTTGGGAATGTCCGGCCTCCCAGAGACCTATTACCTTCCATCTTACCAGCTTCGATATGCGAGGCGGCATAGCAGGTAAAAGAAGTAACTGTATAGAAGTGATTCGCAAGGGGGCTCAAGCGATAATGATTTCTTAAAGCAACTAGCCTTCTGGAACGGAAGGACTAGCGCTAAAATGGATAGACGGTTCAAAGATACGCACGTTGGCGTCAGTAAATTTTATTGATAACAAAGCAATTTTGAAAATGCATCGTGGAGGAGGAAGCTTGAAGGCGCTGCTATACTTCGTTTCGCCACGAGTCCAAACGCGGCCGACGTGATGAGCTCATGAACCAATCAGACAGCTTCAAAAGCGCACCATCATGGTGTTAGCCATGTTTCTGTACGTGTTCTATAATCGCTGAACCAATCATAAACGCAGAAGGCTTAGTGACTTCCGCTTTTGACGTTGCTTGATTTGTCCCAATATCTCGTAGCGTCGGCTGCGTCTATACTTAACCTAAAACGAAATATAGCATGCAGACTAAGCGCACAAAAAACAACAACGGGATTCCGACGATATAATCTGTGATTCGCAGTGTCACGCGCCCTTAGCGGCGGCCCTACTACCTCCCTTCCCCCGGTCCGGAGATTGGGAATGGCCTTCACGTGACCGACTAGTTGAAACGGCTGCCGCCAGGATAGCGCCGCTCCGGGAAAGTCGGGCGTTCGAGTGGCGGCGTTAAGTTTGAGGCGCACTGTACGTCCTTAAACCACAACAGTGCCGCCCGAAGGGTAGAGATACAAAGTAAATATAGCTCACTCCCGGAGCAAGTGTTCCGATTAAATTTACATCGTGTTGTTTGTTCATTTCAAACGAAGTGGCAAATTCTCAAGAAATGTACAATGGTCATCCGACTGGGCTTCTGATAACATGTTTGTTTCACACCTGGAGAATGCACTTTGCTCAAATCAGAGCATAATGGTGTGAATAGTCATATAACGTAGAGCTAGTAGGTGTGACAACTGATATGTACACACTATAAGTGTAGTAGTTACGGGGACAAAGCACGTCCAAACATCTGTTGCGGAGGGGAGAAGTAAACTGCAATTAATGTGAAGCTCAGGTGCTAGGCAAATGGTTTTACACAATGCTAGTGCCATTATGGCAAATACATTCGCCACCCAAGCATACGT